ACAGAGAAGAAAAAAGAGAATGTTTTGTTGTGTTTAAGTAATACAGAAACTTTCACAGGTCACTTTACATAAATATCTGATCTGTACCTTTTTGGGGGTTTCATTAATCTGTTGCAGTGTCAAGCGCCCCCCCCCCCCCCTTTGTCTGTGGTGTCCACCCCCCCCCCCCCCCCCCCCTTGTTACCAATTGCCACTTCTTTCTCCGTTTGTATTGTGGATTGCCAGTCTTTCCAGAATTCAAGTACTTACTGGGAGAGGGAATTAAAATACAGAGTTATTTACTGCATTTTGAACAAGCCCATTGACTGTACCATTTTGATTAGTGATGTCCTTGTGGGTGAAATAGACAGTGAACCCTCATTTTCTGAGAGGTTTACATTCACAAGACTCATAAAAAGCTGACTGCTTTCCCAGGATACTGAACACTGGATGGGTCATTTTATACTGCTTACATTCCTTTAGCGGTGAAGATATGTTTATGAGGGGTTTCTGTTTTGTTTTTGTTTCTTTGAGCTATTAGTATTTTGGTTAGTAATGCTAATTAGTAGGTATTGGGAAATAATGTATTCTGACATCATCATTCCTTGCTAAAGGTTACAGCAGTGTATCCAGTGGTTCAACCCCTGGAGCCACACTTACAGCACAGGTTGTACTTGCAAATAGAGAGAATAGCTCCTAGGTTGCTTTGAAAATTCAGCCCTGAATTGTTTACGTTTAACCTCAGGAAATGGTTCTGTAGAAACCATTTTTGTAAAATAGTTTTTACCTCATAAAATCACTTGCTGTTTATACAGGTGATGGACCCCAATGTAGAGATTATGTTATTAGTCTTGGAGTTGTGAAGCCCCTGTTGTCCTTCATCAGCCCATCTATTCCTATAACGTTCTTAAGAAATGTTACGTGGGTCATGGTCAACTTGTGCCGTCACAAAGATCCACCTCCACCGATGGAAACCATTCAGGAGGTGAACTAAATTTATGTTTATACATTTAAATGTATTATACTAGAATTGGTGAATGTCTTGAACATTGTTTAACATTAAATGTTTTCTATCTGCCTCCCTTCCTCAGATCCTTCCAGCCCTCTGTGTTTTAATTCACCACACAGATGTAAATGTAAGTAATAACGTTTCCCATAAAGTGCTTCCTAATCAAGTATATCACTGTGGCACTTCTGGTGGCTATAGCCTAAGGTCATTTTAGAAGCATCTGATCATGACGAGGTACTTTTCTTTTCTTTAAAAAAAAAAAAATGTTAAGCCTCTCGTCTTTCTTTTGCTTCCTAAGGATTTCTTTTGAGAGCATGCATTTCAGATGCCTTATGCATATATGGAAGGAAATGTTTATAATGTTATGAATACATGCTGAATGTACTTTTCTTTACATGAGAAAAGCAACTATTTATGCAGTCTACTTATCCTTTTAATAAATGCTGTACTTACTCAAATACCAGACGACCCCTGAATTATAAGAGAACCCCTCAATAATTAGTTTCTATATATGGAAAGTATATAAATTCGTAGTAATTTTCCAGGTATATAATCTAATTATTGGAGCTTTGCCTTGAATTTGTCCCTCCCCAAATACCACAGGGGGAAAAATTTAATCTGGGTGGGGTCAGGTGGCCTGCTTCCCCTTTGTTCCCACAACTTCTTCCTGCAGCTCTCCGCCAGTGTTACCATCCGGACCTGCTGTCCCTAAGCACATGGAAGTGAGGGGCAAATCTGAAAATGCTAACTTTGAAATAAAATGCCTGTAGTCATTTAATTCATCCAAAAACCTGCTACAAGTTTTAGTACAAGTACTTAATAAGTGCACTTTTAAGCAACACTAATATATAGTACAAACTGTGCACAATATTAATCCAAAATCAAGAGGCTCGCTTATTTACCATGGAGTTTATTGGGCTGGGCCCCAGCAGAGTCAAGTGTTTCAAGGTACACCCTCAGCCTTCCCCCCTCACATAGACACAGGATCCATGTGTTAATCAGCTCCTCACTTGTGATGACTAGAACCAGGTGCCCATGTCATGAGCAGGGTTCTTGGTTTTCCCTGAGAAAAAAATTGCAAAATCCATGATTTAAAGGCCCCCCACAGCCTTCCCTGGCCTTGCTGGTACCGCTCACTCCCCCACCCACAGCCCCTGCCCCCCAGCCCTGCCAGGGCTTTGGGGCCAAGGACCCAGGTCCACAGTTCCTTGCCCACAACAGAAGGCAGCTGCAGCAGAAGGAGCATGAAGCCGGCCCCCCTACTGCTGCCTGCTGCAGGTTTGGGCAGGGGCAGAGCTGGCTCCCGGGGGCCACACACGCTCCGGAGGGGCAAGGAGGTCTTGCACTCCCCAAATCTGTGAATGGGGCAGGCTGCGGTAGATCTGGGGGAGCAGGTCCCTAATGCCCTGAGAGTGAAAGACTGGGACCACCCACAGTGTATAGGCTTCACCGGGCTCAGTGCCTCCATGCAGGGCTTCCCTTAAGGGCCCATAGCACAACTCGCAGTCCATGTGCAGCTGGCCGGGCACTCCATGTATCTCACCAACACTTCCCTGCTCCTGGCTGGAGTGCCCAGCCAGCTGGACATGGACCGTGAGCGGCATTATGGGCCCTTAAGAGAGGCTCATGGAGGCATTGAGCCCAGTTGGGCTGATAGTGCTGCTGGCAGTCCACATGCTGCTGGCTGGGCACTCTGTGTCATTCACCACAACTTCTCAGCCCCCTGTAAGCCCCACTTACCTAACCTTACAGGCACTAGAAGGAAAGTGAGCCAGAGGTGTGTCTTGGGACTGACTAAAAGCCTCAGGCCCTGTCCTTCCCCCTCCCCCTTCCCCTCTGGCCAGGGTTTGGGGTTTCCCCAGTCTTTTTACAATCAGCTCTTGCAGGCTAGAAGTCTGCCCGCCTACAGAGCTCTTTGCAAAAGCGGAAAATCTGCGTTTTCTCTGATTTTTAAAAATGGGAAATCCGTGGTTTTCTCTGTTTTTTCCATGGAAAATGGGAAACCCAGATCCCTGGTCATGAGTCTTGGGATCCTCCAAAAATGTATATGCTGATGAGGTGTGGGGCAGCCTTGTTTGGCAGATTGAGAGTGGGGGTGGCAGAGGGATCCTGGGTGAACTGTTTGGGGCCCCTTTTGGTCATTTATGCCAAATATTTAAGGCTGGTGAAGAAACAGGAATCATTGGGAGTGGGAAAGAAAGGCATAGCTTAGCTGTAGGATCAAAGAGGTTGCTTCAAATAAAGTGAGGCTGGATATCTTTCTTCTGTGTAGATTGCTTTGGTTTTGTAATTGAGCAAACATTAACAGGTCAGATGCACGCTTTAAATGAACTGCTTTTTGCATATATCTATATATGCAAGGAAAACCAAGAGGAACTTGCATTGCATCTGTTTTACTCTAAACAAAGGTTTCTAAAGTTTTGTTTTTTTGTTTGTTTTTTTTTTTTATCTCTGTGAAGGAGCACTAGTAGATAAGGATATGTCAAGCTGCTGTTGCAGTATTTTTGCTGTATTCTATTCCTTAAACTTTGTTCACCCTAAAGATTAACCATAGCTTTCTCATCATTTTCCATTATTAACATTATGGAGATAGTGTTTGTAATTGAATCTTCACAGATGACTAACCATTTGGCCCATAAATAGAGCTAAAAATGATATCAAAGTAGTTATTCTGAGTCCTAGCTAACGAGAAGGCATACAGGAGTGAAAATAATAAAGTCTGAAATGCAATCGCTTTTTCAAGTGAACTATATCATGCTTCAGAGTGGTAGGAAAGCTTGTTTTGGTTACTGTTTTGTTTTTTGGATTACATCAAAAAAGACAAAATGTGGGTAGAAAAAAAAACTTATTCTGAGATATGTATTAAACATTTAAATAAACTCTGGGCTTTTGCTTTTAATTATCAGTTTCTAAAAATAGTTTTCACATCTGACTTGGCATGTGTTGTTTAGAGCTTCCTTTTTTGTACTGGCTTAATTTTGTTTTTTTTATGTTAGATATTGGTAGATACAGTCTGGGCTCTTTCCTACCTAACGGATGCTGGTAATGAACAGATCCAGATGGTGATAGACTCTGGAATAGTCCCTCATTTGGTTCCTCTTCTCAGTCACCAAGAAGTTAAAGTGCAAGTAAGTTCAGATTGTACATTCTGAAACAAAAGCCTAGTGACTTTGTGTACCTTTTGGTTTGATTATTGTTTAAATATTTATCAACACATCTTTGCAGATGCTTCAGTTTCTGAAACTCTGCAAATGTCAAATTTTTTCTACTTTTGGACAAAAGAATATTTTTTGCTTTAAGTGTTTTCGTACTTAACTTAGACTCAGCTTTATAGAAATATCATTGAAAATTGTTCTCCCAACTGTTTCAGATGTTCCACAGTCTTTAAATAGTGTTCTGTTTCAGACTGCTGCGCTGAGAGCTGTAGGAAACATTGTTACAGGGACTGATGAACAAACGCAGGTAGTTCTGAATTGTGAAGCTCTTTCACATTTCCCAGCCCTTCTGACACACCCCAAAGAAAAAATTAATAAGGTATGTAAGTACACATAGAAGTCAAACTGTTCTGTGTGTCATTTGTTGTAAATATTTTTGACCACTATTCTCTGATGCTTTGCATTCCACACATTATAACCTAAACTAGTGAATAATACTAATTCATATTTGTTATACCAAGTTCTAACCTAAAGGGCTTGATACTATCATACTTTTCTTGACTTGCTGAAATTATTTTATTAGAAGAATTTTAAGGACCTGTCACAATCCATTTGCCAATCATAGTAATGTGTAGGGTTTTCACCTGTATCACATGTATCAGTGCATAATCCCTGCTTCTTGGATTTGTATAAACATTCATCTTTTTATCTTGTGTTGCAGGCTGTCAGTCTGTAACTTTATAGACCAAAATCTCTGAGGGGTCTGCCATATTTGTATAACGCGTTTCAATGATTTGTTAATAGAATAAAGTAAGTATTCCACATAAGATTGGAATACAGTTGATTAAACTGACTCTTGGAAATGATGAAAAAGAGGTATTTGGATGTCTGTCTGAATGGCATGTGTGATTGGGGGAATTTTATTCTAATTAAATTCTTAATTTATACTTTTAGTACTGCGCTATTTGGGAGGGGGGAGTGTGTGTGTGTAAGTGTACAAAAGCTTCAAAATGGGGGCACTGATGGATAAAGTGCTGATTTTGGAGTGCATCTGAGGCATGCTGTATTACAGCATTGCCAATGATTAAAGACCAAGATAAGCTCACCAGATTAGTCTAGACATCCTAAAAATCTCTAACAGGTTCACTGATATAAGTGATCCTGTGATCTGATCCAAGAGGTTTAGTCAAGATTATTTGACTTGATAAATTAGAATCAGGGAGTTATCTGTCTTGTATTCTCAAGTTGAATAAGCAGTGTTGAATGAAATTGTTATACCGAGACAAATTGAAAACATTTGGTTTATATAAAGTAGTCCTAAGGGTGGATTGGAAGGTAGCTAAATTTTCTGGTTAAGTGTGGTGATTATGGAAGCTCTTATTTTAATGTCTTTATGTACAATACTGATTGTTCTGGGTGAATAATTTATTTTGTATAATCTTAGTGAGAAACACGATGGCTTTTTTTCTTTTTATTGAACCAGCTGTACAGTTGAGACCATGCTGGATAGTCTTTTGGACCAAAGTGCCTTTTTTCAGGTCGGGGGCTAAAGTCTTAAAATTAGATGATATTTCTAAAAGCTTAATTCCTGAAACTGTCCATGCACCTATGAAAGCTTCGTATTTTGATACTGAGAATGTATTTGTTCACTCTGGAAAGTAAACTTGGGCCAAGTGGAGTTTTTATGGAAGGTTTTGTGTAGCAATGTCCAGCATAACTGCAGTGTTGGGCACTCGTCTGTGTTCCTGACCACTACTTCACTTGTCTTGAGCATTGCCATTCTTCCAGAATATACTTTTCCTTTAAAGGTATTTTGATATCATACATACTTGAACAGCAATTTTACTTTATAAACTGATACACTTACATCTATATGTGGCCTGTTCTTGCTTCTCTTGGATAAACTGTTGATGTCAGTGGAACTAGGAGCACAATCATTTCTTTTGTTCATATTTATGAATAAATATATTTTTGGAATACTTGGGAACAAAGATAAAGAGGAAACAGATTTTTCATGAGATAAAGAGCAGTGAGTATCATCTTTGAGTGCCTGCCAAAAGCAATGTAGCTCTAACTTCCTTTAGAGCTCCCTCAGCCCTCAGTTGGGAATAGTGGTGGCATTAGAACATAAGGATGACTGAATAAACTGTTGAGGTCAAATCTAAAATGACCCTTTGGTCACTTTAGAAATCATGCCAGTTAATCTTCAGGTTTAGTGTAATCCTCTTCGTTTCCTAGTTTACAATAATAATTTTGTTACCCCTACTTTGTCAGTTTTCTACTGTGTCTAGATTGTTATGATTTTCAATGCAGTTATGTTTTAAAAACAAAAACAAATTTTCAATTCTGGATGCTAGGATGTCTTTGATTTTTGTCTAAACATTTTTAAATTGTAAGTTTAAGTCTCAAGTTAGAAATTGTTATTCAAATACTCCTCCACACTATTTAATGTCTGTACTTTTTACTTTGCAGGAAGCAGTATGGTTCCTATCTAACATCACTGCAGGAAATCAGCAGCAAGTTCAAGCAGTGATAGATGCAAACCTTGTTCCCATGATAATACATCTTCTAGATAAGGTTAGATAACATGTTCCTTTTGTATTGTTGGTCACAAGAAAAAGGAGATATATTTTTGAAATTCCTACAGATTTTAAGTCTCTTTGTTTTTATATTGGGTTCCCTAGGGACAAAGTATAATAGTATATTTTCATAAATAGCTAGTTACCGCATAATCTTTTTGTTTAACAAGCATCTAAATTTCTCTTATTGAAGCTTCAGAAGATGCCATTGATCAGGTTTTTTTCCAACTATTTAAGTTTATCTAATAAGATATCAGATTCACCCAAAGAACCTTGGCTGCCTGTGTCCTTAGACCAACTCGGCTACAATCTACACCCCTGCTTCATGCAAAACAATGATTATTATTGGAAAGATGTGGTAAAAAAGCTCTTTGCTTCCATGTAAAATGAAGACATGGAGATAAGCCATTTTTTTAAATGTCTGAGGATCTTAACAGCCAAAAATTGGTGTAATTTGTGGTGTCAACCATTGTGTATAATCCTGGGGATACCCTTCATATGAATACATAACCCATTGGTTCCCCCTCCCCCCAGCCCAATAACCAAAAGAGATGTTTGCTGATACCATTTGCAAACCTAATTTTGTCTCCTGTTGTAAGTTGTCCCATGTATCCACTCCCTGCAGAAGAGTCCCAAATTATTTTTTCTTCTATTGGCAGGCTACAGAATCAGCCAGTATGTCCCTTTTTTAAAATCTTTACCACTGGATCTTACATAGAAGTAGGAAGCTATACAAGAAAGTAACAATAATTGCAGTAGTCCTGTGCCAGTAACTGCCTTTTGCTGTTAGTATGAAACTCTTCATGTGTATACTCACACTCCTGTGATTAGGCAGAAAAGCTAGCAGAGCAGTCCCTTTTGCCTTGTATCACCACATCCAGCTTTTTGTGGTGGAGGGAAAAGGCTTGCTGCTATGGTACTAGATTTTTTTAATGTACTGATTTGAAAGTCCTGATTGAGCATGTGTGGAGTACATGATCAGTTTCTGTTTTGGGTTGTGTTTCTCTTAAAATATTTCCCATTTTAATACTTACCTTCCTTTCCACTGAGATGAGAGGAAGGAATAACCTCAGTGAATGGAGTGGAGGAAGAGCATGGGAAGTCTTGGGTCTTAGCAGAGGAGGGTGAGGAAATAAGATGCAAAATAATAATAATAATAATAAAACAGTTTGAAAGTAGCTATTTTTTTCACTAGTAGTAGTGTATAGAAATTTTAGCACAGATTTGTATTTTATAGTTGCTGCTGAAACCGTCTTGCATCCTGAAGATGAAAGGATGCTGAGTCTCTGGTATAAAGTGCTTTTGTTGGAATTTTATAAACACTATATACATTTGAAGTTTTGAAATTCCAGTACAGTGCTCATCATTATGAGATGTTGCAGGCTGCTAATGAAGAGATGGAAGGGACAGTGGTACAGTTGGGTGGTTGTTTTTTTGGGGGGGGGGTTCCCCTCTTCATGGCTCTTGTTCCAGAGGGGAGGAAAAACTTTTTCCTGTTCTACAGCTGAAACTTTCCAGGCAGGATAGTGCTCAGGGGGGTCCTCCAGGCTGCATAGGCAATAGAAGATGGAGCATGGGGAGGAACAAACTTTCATCCTCCTACTTTCTAGCATTTACAAGATACTTTCTTTCTGCCCATCTCCCCAGTTTTAAACTGAGTTTACTCCCAGTTTAAAATGAGGTTTTTCCTCATTTTAAGTCCTCCTATAACAAAACAATTACTAAAATATTATATTTAAGCAGGAGGAATATTATAAATATGAATAAAATAATCTACAATTAATTATTATTGTCTTTTAGGGTGATTTTGGTACTCAAAAAGAAGCTGCGTGGGCTATAAGCAACTTAACAATCAGTGGAAGAAAAGATCAAGTGAGTAAATCTGTTTCCCTAAAACTAGTGCACTTTTTTTCCCTTTTGGTTCTTCTGAAATTATCTGAACACCACTTCCTTGAAATAATTTTTGGTGGATTAGTGAAATGATATTTATGTGGAAACCGTTTGGTTTCCATGTTGGGAGTGACCTGAGACTAGAGTCCTGGACAAAAATTTTGTCTGAAGTGCTCCAACATGTGTGTGGCTGAAGTGCTTCAGAAACAAGCATCAAAAGTAAGGAACATCTTTGAAGCATTTCATAAACCATCTACACTCCAGCCATGTGTGATGAGGTTGCTCAAGCTTACAGCATTTCACAGATGGAGCTCTGTTTCTGGCCACCCTTCATCATGGATGTTGGAGGGGAATGGAGAGCAATTACCTGTTGCAGTCCCTGGCTGGAGGGCCCTGCTGCTGGATGCCATCACAGTGATTCTTTTGAAGTGCTTTCGTGGTGGAGGTGGCTGGTAAAGGTGCACTGATACATTGGTCCAATTATCAGATCGGCACAGATATAAAGAAAATTGACTGTATTGGAAATCAAACTTTTTTGCCTAATGTGGCCAATAAATGCCTTGTGCATGTGCAGCATGTAGATGGTGAGGAGCACAGCCCAACAGCTTGGAGAGCTGCGTCCAGCTGGTAAGTCTGTTGTGGTAGAAGGGGAGGAGGGAGGAAAGGAGTGTAGGGGGAGAAACAAATGGAGGCCCCTGCAATGAGGGAGGTAATGTGGCTGGGGCAGGGCATGGGATGGAGCTGCGAGCAGCTCGTCTTGGGGGCATGTGGATGGGGGGGCGGCTTCTTTTGCTCTGCAGGTGCGGGTTCTGCTCAGCTGGGCCGGGGGATGGAGCTGTGGCTCATTTGGGGGCCATGGAGAGTGGGGGGCGGCTT